CTGAAAACTTTTCAGCCGTCTTCACTTCGAAAATTCCTTTCCAGGGTATGACGCTTAACAAAAACCGGCAGCAATGCCTCTATAAACGGGAGATTTTGAAGAGCGTGGAACTACCTCTTAATTGTTGTTACCAGGTCCACCGTGACGCAGGTGGTAGGACTTGTTAGGGTCCCAACTATGAGCAAGTAGGGAACACCCGGACTGGGGTCAAAACCTCAAAAAATAAAATACATTAGAAAAATTACCGACAATATATTATCAGGAAAAATAATTTACCGCCAATACATACTAGGAAATAAATACCAAAGCTCAAATAAATAAATAAATAAAAATAAATAAATAAATTCAGCATTAAATCACCTATAAGGATCATTTGCATTTTTACATTATTCGGACTGTTATCCTCATCTTCATTGTCATATTCACAACGTTTCGGCCGCTGTACGCTCCGGCTTTCTTCAGGTGATTGTAATTTTTCTTCAATATCTGTCTATATCTCTGAGAGTATGTATTATGATTATTTGTATTATTTACATTATTCGGAATTTTATCCTCATCGTCATTGCCATATTCACGACGTTTCGGCCGTTGTACGTTCCGGCCTTCTTCAGGTGATTAGAATTTCGAATCGAACCCTTTATTTCGTCCACAGAGGTAGATTTTTCTAGTTCCACGTGCCATGCCTCTTCTGGATGTCTCAGTTATTTCCCTTTAAGTCAACTCTCCAATTTTTTGGTTCACCACTGCTGCGGCCTGGTATTGAACTCACAACTCTTTCGCGATATAGACAGACTCATATGGAGCTGATCAAATAAACCAAACCAAACCTCTGAAAATCAGAAGGGATTTTTAAAAAAATCTCTTATTTGATCAAACAGGATAATATTATTTTTAAGGAATACTTTTTTGGTCATGCTGAGAACTTTTCAAGACACTCCCATCAACATATTCCCTTTATGCATAGGCAAGCATACACATACAACATTCACGATAAACCCGTTACCTAACACGTAATAATTATTCGTTAGCGTAACATGTCCCATTAGAACGTTGGGAATCATAGCTCACCACAAACTCCTCGTAATGTTTGCGTTATTACCGTTCTTCTTACCAATTAATCGGACATCCATTTACACAAGTTTGTGTGGTAGGTTACTCGTTGTTTTTCTCTGACTCTCTTGCCTTTGCCCTGTGGGTCAAATTCTCCAAGCTCTCTCATAATGTCTCACAGAAAATCCCACTGATTTCTTTCGGACTGTTATCCTCATCTTCATTACCATATTCACAACATTTCAGCTGTTGTATGTTCCAGCCTTCTTCAGGTGATTGGAATTTTTCTTCAATACTCGTTGTTTTTTTCTGACCCTCATGCTTTTAGCCTGTCGGTCAAATTCTCCAAGATCTGTCATAATGTCATAATGTCTCACAGAGTGTAATAGTCCTTTTTGCTCTCATTTTAATTAAAACATCCTCATTATATACATGTTCCGTTCATGTTATTTTCAGCTTACTTCTGTACAATCACATCTACGTCGCCTCTGTGGAAATTGCCCAGCGTTCAATTGCAAACAGAAGAGTTGATAAGACGTGGCAGTTTACCCTTCTTTTCTTTCTAACGATTGTTTTCTTCAGGTGATTGGAATTTTTTTTTCAATACATGTCTATATCTTTGAGATGAGGTATTATGATTACTTGCATTATTTACATTATTCGGTCTATTATCCTCATCCCCATTGCCATATTCACAACGTTTCGGTCGGAGATGAGGTATTATGATTACTTGTATTATTTACATTATTCGGACTGTTATCCTCATCTTCATTGCCATATCTACAACGTTTCGGCCTCTATATCTCTGAGATGAGGTATTATGACTACTTGAATTATTTACATTATTCGGACTGTTATTCTTATCTTCATTGCCATATTCACCAAGTTTCGGCCTTTGTACTTTCCGTACTTCTTCAGTTGATTGCAATTTTTCTTCAATATATGTCTATATCTTTGATATGAGGTATTTTTATAATTTGTATTATTTACATTATTCGAAATTTTATCCTCATCTTCATTGTCATATTCACGACGTTTCGGACGTTGTACGTTCCAGCGTTCTTCAGGTGACTGGAATTTCCACTCGAAACCCTTTATTTCGTCCATCGGGATAGATTGTTCTAGTTCCATATGCTCGTCTGGATGTCGAAGTTATTCCCCTTTAACAAAACTCTCAAAGTATTTTGGTTCACCACTGATGTGGCCTGTTGGACATGTTTGCCGTAGTCTTTGAATATAGAATCCAGTGCAGTACGTAATGTGTTCAATGGAACAACGCCAATATCACTAGTAGCAGCTAGTTCAAAAATTCTTCAGGACTTCGATATCAGAGGTTGGCAGTGAAGATATTTTTGGAGAAAAAACAAAATGGCTGCCTTTATACACGTCGGATTGAATATTTTGAGCCTTCTGATTGGCTAACCCTTCTATCGGTGAACTATAAAATGAGTCAGCTCATTTTGGCTAGCTCAGTAGTACATCAGGATACCCAAAAATTCCAACATGGCCTGGTATTGAACTCGCAGCTCCTTGGGTCTAGTCACTGGATCTAACCAACGTCTTTATCCACTGTCCTTTTCCAATGTCTTGATCCGCTGCTACGTTCGAGATATTAGTACATCCATGAATGACTGTATATATATATATATATATATATATATATATATATATATATATATATATATATATAGAGTTGAACATATATATATATATATATATATATATATATATATTCCACTCCCTACATTTCTGATGAAGTAATAGCGAATGGCAAATTATCCATGTCGTATAAGACCGTGCACTCTTTACATTTCATATTACAATATGAAGAATTTAGGTGAGATCCGAGCAATACTTGTCTACATCTATGTGCATATTAGCCGACCAGAAACTTCTTTACGTATTACTCACTTATGTACCATGCGTGATACACGCTTAGGCGATCATGTATCTTTCGATACATGACTGACGAGGCAGATTTTTTTCCCGCAGTAGGTTGCCATTTCTTTCTGCGGTAGACCAGTTGCCATCCAAGGCTATAGAACCCGGTCAGTCCAGCTATTTACCCATAGCTGGAGGGTGGAGAAGAAGAGGATTCATACCTTTCCCAAGGATATTAGCACATAACTGAATATAATGGATTCGACTGGAATTCGTCCCCGGTTCTCCGTTATCGCATTTCCCGACGCCATAAGTTACACCACCCGCACATCCTCTCCAATGAAATGGAGGCACTAGTAGCAGTAGAGTATTATTTCAATGAACAAGCAGACATTCAGGTAAGTGCCATGCGTGATACACGCTTAGGCGATCATGTATCTTTCCATACATGATTGACGAGGCAGATTTTTTCCCGCAGTAGATTGTCATCTCTTTCTGCAGTAGACCAGTTGCCATCCAAGGTCTGTCCTGCTATTTACCCATATCGGGAGAGAAGAAGATTCATACCCTTACAAGGATATTAGCACGTAAGTGAATGTAATGGATTCGACTGCGTTTTTGAGCCGTTACCTATTAATCTACCGTGCCTCTTAAGCCTCCTGTTTGTATTTTATTAAATTATATATTTAATATTATAGTGTTTTGAAGTTAAGTAGTGTCCAACTACAACAAATGTGTAAAGATTAGCATACCAAATGCCCGAACTCTCATATAAATGTTTCGTATTTACATTTAATATTGATATTTGATATTAGACTAAGCAGCAATACTCACAATCTACAGGCTTACGGTCATATTACATAGAAATAACGATTCTCGTTCTATCACCGAAGTTAAGCAACGTCAAGCCTAGTCAGTACCTAGACTTAAAATTTAATGTTAGCCCGAACTCAAGAGGTTTGTATCCCCACCCCCAGGTTTTACCTCTCATTATCGGGCATTTGAGACGTTCCTAGAAGAGGCAGTGCCGATAACTATTGCACAGTATCTGTCCCCAGTCCGCATACGCTACCAACCATCTTTAAATTCGATATTGTGTTACATTCCGCTCGACTGGGCGGGCCGCTAAATACCTAGACGCGAGACTAACTGGTTGTTCATTACTCTATAGTAGGAGCCCTAACAATGAGGGTTTATGCAATTTATGTATACTTTTCCTATTTGTAAATCGTGCAAAGATCTCTCTTTCACTCTCTCAGGAAACTGATTCCCTTGTCACGTGGAAAGCCGATTTAGGATCTAATAATTTGCGCTTCAAAATTCGACTTATACACGAATGATATATGAATGAATAATAACAGACAGAAAAACAGAGAGAGGTGGGGATCCATGTCCGCTGATAAAGGACACGTAATAACGAATAGGTACACGTACACGTCTAATGTGGCTTCAAATATAATCATGGAGACATGTTTGACACTTTACCCTTTTCCTGCATCGCTTTAAGTGCACAGATGTCGTTCCTGTCCAGGAAGGAGATATATGGCCAAACAAATTTGGGTTGGAGAAAATTCTTTGCTTCATTCCTTGTTTACGTGTCGTCTTTATATGGAATCTTTCTTTACTTGCAACGAGGCACATATAGCAGCGGAAACTCATTCAGATACGCACCCACTGGACATACACGACACGTTTCCAAAATGTCCCCTCCCACACAAACGCTCACATTCCCAGCACTTCGACCGTGTTCATTATTACGACCGCCATCTTGTCTCTTTTACTCTCTATTAAATTTATATTATTCACTCCTTCTCTCTCACCCTCTCTATCTATCTATCTATCTATCTATCTATCTATCTATCTATCTATCTATCTATCTATCTATCTTCCTCTCTCTAGCGTTCACCTGCTGACTCTGTCGTTCTCTCACGATCTCTTTTGATTGATTTTCATTTTCTTTTTCTCTCATTGGTACTTTTTTTCTGCATCTCTTCCTATCCTTCTCCTCCCCCCTCTCTCTCTCTTTATGTGGATAGATAGTTTTCACACGCGGACTGTCTGGCTCTCTCATGCTGTTTCTCACTCTCTCTTTGTTACAGGCTTCCCTCTCTCACTCCCTTTGTTTCAACAATCTCTGTTGCTCTCTTACTCTCTCTCTCTCTCTGTTGTTCACATTCTTTCTTTCTATCTATCTATCTATCTATCTATCTATCATAGTCTGTTTATATCTCAGTCTGTTTACATGTATGTATGTATCTATCTCAGTTTACTTCTATCTATCTATCTATCTATCTATCTATCTATCTAAGTCTATTCGTATCTATCTATCTATCTATTTCTATCTAAGTCTGTTTATATCTATCTATCTATCTATTTCTATCGAAGTCTATTAATATCTATCTGTCTATTTCTATCTATTTATCTAAGTGTATTCATATCTATCTATCTATCTATCTATCTATCTATCTATCTATCTATCTATCTATCTATCATAGTCTGTTTATATCTCAGTCTGTTTATATGTATGTATCTATCTCAGTTTACTTCTATCTATCTATCTATCTATCTATCTATCTATCTATCTATTTCTATCTAAGTCTATTTATATCTATCTATCTATCTATTTCTATCGAAGTCTAATAATATCTATCTGTCTATTTCTATCTATTTATCTAAGTGTATTCATATCTATCTATCTATCTATCTATCTATCTATCTATCTATCTATCTATCATAGTCTGTTTATATCTCAGTCTGTTTATATGTATGTATGTATGTATCTATCTCAGTTTACTTCTATCCATCTATCTATCTATCTATCTATCCATCTATCTATCTATCTATCTATCTATCTACTCACACATCCATTTATTGATAAACGTGAAGCTTTTTTTCGCTAGTTATCCCATTCTCCTTTTCTTTTGGTGGATGGCTTTTTTCTTTTTTTCATTCCTTCTACACTCTTCTTCTTCTTCTTCTTCTTCTTCTTTTTCTTCTTCTTCGCCTGACGCCTCTTTCTCAATCTCTTTCTTTCTTTCTTTCTTTCTTTCTTTCTTTCTTTCTTTCTTTCTTTCAGACACTTCTGTCTCCGCATTGCCGAAGGGTCACTAGTTAGGAATTAGGGTCGCCAGACAACCGGGTGTGTCCTGCGACACGTGTGCTTCCTACTGACGCGTGTCTGTCGTCCCGGTACTCACTTGTTTCGCCCGAGTAAATGATCGCCATCCTAGCAACGTGAAAAGAGGAGAAGGCCGATGATTCCATGGTTAGGAGTCGCGTCTGGGAGTGTCCGGTGTTCGACCGGAAGAAAATTTCACTGGACACATCAAGTGCTGATTAGCAAAAGGCCTTGTCGTCTGAGGTGAAAAATCCTGATTTAAATTTCACCAACCCTTACAAAACAAGATTCTCTGTTAAGTGTAGTATAATTGGTTAGAATTTCTTAACTACCATTGTTCTGATGCTGGGTTGGTTATATTCATTATTACACAATTTCATGATAAAAAATTAACCATATTATTTGATATTAGCATTATTATTTGTATGAGATATTAATTAAAACAAGTTCTCCTAGCAGACGTACGGGATACTACTTTAATATATGCAGATGATTTTAAGTGTGGTTAGTAATTTATTTAGACGGTTATCTCAACAAAAAAAAAAAAAATGGAATATATGCTTATCGAGTTAAATTGACAGCCAGGTTGTAAAAATAAACTTCAAGACTTTTTTTTTTTTCTATTTTTTCTCGTTTCTCTCATTCCAGTCTTAGAAATGACCAATGGAGGCACATCGATGTGGTATAATGGGAAGCAATCTTTTCTCGCTAGGTCAGTTACGAATGAATATCGAATTCGATCCTCACTGTTTGCAGCATAGTTCCGTCCATATGCATCTAAGCTGCGCTTGGGAAATCACCACAGAAATAACCAGTAAGATTGCAATTACAATAAATACAGGTATCTGTATTTTTTTTTAAATTAATCAAAATCTATAAAGTAAAACATAAGTAAACTTGTACATTAGTAGTAGTAGTAGTAGTAGTAGTAGTAATAGTATTAATTGTAATAATAATAGTTCTTGTTGTTGTGAGTGGAGTCTTCGATTTGATTGGAAAAAGTTCTGATAGACTCATTGGTAGTCCATACCTAAAAAAAAATGCAAAGAATTGTACTCAAAAGTACAAGTGACATTTTACGAAGGGAATTAACAATGTAAAATGTGTGCGATTTTCGGTCCGTTTATATCTATTTTTATTTTTTACAAAAATGCTCAGTGGAAAATGCCAGTTCATATTTCGGTGTCTAGTTGAGATCTGGAAAGAAATGATTAGACAACAGAAATCAAAGAAAATAATAACAATAATAATAATAATAATAATAATAATAATAATAATAATAATAATAAGAAGAAGAAGAAGAAGAAGAAGAAGACAGTCCCCGTTGTAGTTGGAGCCCTCGGATTGGTTGGAAAAAATTCCAGTAGACTAATTGAAGGGATCCCTGGAAGCCAATGCCTTAAAGAAATACAAAAAAATTGTTCTCACGAGTACAGTCCACACCTTACGAAGGGCTTTGTCTATTTAATTTTTTCCCCCAAAATATCATGATACCATTTCTAAACTTAGATCCCTGGGCGGGACTCGGAAAGAAATGAAAACACATCAGAAATCAAAGGAAATAAAATAATAATAATAATAATAATAATAATAATAATAATAAATCAAAATCTCAAGAATGTGGTGCAATAGAGCATCAACAATTCCAATTGGATTTAGAGTTCTCGAACTGATTGAAAAAGATTCCAATAGACTCATTGAAGGGATTTTTGTAGCCCATGCCTTAAATAAATACCAAAAATTGTACTCACAAGTAAAGCCTACATCTTACTAAGAGCCTTGTCTATGTAAAATATGTGGGATTTTGGGTATTTCTTTAAGGCATAGAATTGATTCCATTCAATCAGTTTATGGGATTCTTTTCTAAACAATCCGAGGGCTCCAACTACAACATTTTTAAGATTTCAATTTCAGGATTCTTGTATTTTTTTTTTCAGATCTTCAAAGATACATTCCAATCTGCAGTGACCGTCACGTGATCTTTGATCAAAATGTCTGGTTGATTAACTTTGATTATTCTGTCTGTGCGTAATTATAAAATCCCATAAAATTGTTACAGATTTTATTTCCATAACCGAATCTGGGGAAGGGGTGTTCATCCCAATTTCTTGTTGATTTTCCAGTCCACTGAAATATTTTTCAAAAAAATTCGAGGGCTCCAACTACAACAGGGATTGTTGATGTGCTCATGTGCCACATTTTTGAGATAGATATCACGGTCCTTGTATTTTGATAGCTTTTTGAATATTTTCAAAGATACATTGCAGTCTGCAGGGACAGCTATATCAATAAGGAGGCACTTTTTTAGTTTGTGATCTTTAAAAACAATGTTGGGGCGGTTGGATTTGATTGTTCTGTCAGTGTGTATTGCGTAGTCCCATAGAATTGTAACAGGTTCTATCTCCTTAACCGGGTCTGGGTGGTGTTGCAGATTTCCCAGTGCAGATATTGGCCCAATCTGCAATGTCATGTTTTATATTCAGTGGGTGCCAATACCGTGCAACCTGATACAAGATGATCGATTGTTTCTGGGTAATTATCACAGAATCTACATTTTGGGCTAACACAGTTTTTCAGTATGCGTGCTTGATAATTTCTAGTTAACAAGCACTGATCTTATGCAGCCAGGATAAAAACTTCGGTTTCAGCTTTTAACCCTGAACTACGTAACCACTGATAGGTATGGGGTTTGTCTACATCAACTTGTTTGGTACGGGCAGAGTATTGGCCATGAAGCAGTTTATCTTGCCATTTTTACTGTATCTGGTCGGTTGCATTTGCTTTTGCTTTCTTTTTTAACTATTTTGCAGCTTCAGTCGATGTATTGTGCTATTTTTTGTATTACAGCGGTACACCATCAAAGACATTACGGTAAGCAATCTACGCTGCGCTAAGATTGCTACATCGTCTCCTGTAATTTTCCAGGATCATTTTGTTTATTGTAAAACCTTCATTTCGGGTTAACAAAGTTTTTCAGTATCTGTGCTTGGTAGTTTCGAGTTAGCAAGTATTGGTCCTGTACAGCAAGAATAAAACTTTCAGTTTCTGCTTTTAACCCGATTATTATTATTATTATTATTATTATTATTATTATTATTATTATTATTATTATTTCATTTGATTTCTGGCATGTACACATTTTATCCGGATCCCGCCCAGGGACCTAAGGTTAGAAATGACATCATGGCACTTTCTACTGACAAAAAAAAATACATAGATAAAGCCCTTCATAAAGTGTGGGCTGTACTTGTCAGAACAATTCTTTGTATCTCTTTGAGGCATGGACTTCCAGGAATCCCTTCAATTAGTCTACTGGAATCTTTTTCAACCAATCCTAGGGCTTCAACTACAACAAGGATTGTTGATATTTCCATATGCCACATTTTTGAGATTTCTATTTTAAGGTCCTTGTATTTTGATTGCTTTTTGAATATCTTCAAAGATACATTGAAGTCTGCAGGGACTGCCATATCAATAAGAAGGCACTTTTTTAGTTTGTGGTCTTTAATAACAATGTCTGGGCGGTTGGCTTTGATTGTTCTGTCGGTGTGTATTGTGTAGTCCCATAGAATTGTAACAGGTCCTATCTCCGTAACCGGGTCTGGGTGGTGTTCATACCAGTTTCTATCAGTTTCCTTCTCGTAAAAGTTTCAAATTTTCCAGTGCAGATATTGGCCCACTCTCTCATGCCGGGTTTTATATTCAGTGGGTGCCAACACCGTGCAACCTGATACAAGATGATCAATTGTTTCTGGATATTTATCACAAAATCTGCATTTTGGGCTAACACACTATTTTAGTATATGTGCTTGATAATTCCTAGTTAGCAAGAATTGGTCCTGTGCAGCCAGGATAAAACCTTCAGTTTCAGCTTTCAACCCTGCACTACGTAACCACTGAGAGATTACAAATGGGGAGGCATTTAGGGCAAATTTACTATGGTCAATCCTTTTGGAGTCAATTAAAGAGTACAGGTGGATTCTTAGATATTTTATGGTTAGAATAAACCTCATATTTTTCATACACAGTGGCTTTATGGGGTCAATTAGATTTAGGTCCAGTTGCAACAATTACATTTCGACTGGAAGGGATATGCATCTAGTTTTAGCTATCTGTTATCAGTGTAAATATTAAGATAGACGTATTGAGTTCATATCCCAGCGGAAGTTGTTGTGCTTGCTTTCGCAGAAATACTGCTGAGAAAGGAAACAATGCATTTCTTCTGCCACCAAGTATAAGATCAATAGCAGGTAAGCTAGCTGTGGGTGGCAAATAGTTTAAAAGAATGAAAACTCTGCATTCAAAACTGCTTGAGTGTGGGGATTAGCAACTCCATCCCGTAAAATTATATTTGCCACTGAAATCACAGTAGAAACATGTTTCTTCACCCCACCACATTTTTTCTTTTACTCGTTTCACCCCAAGCAAGGCGATAATGCCACTAAGGCACAGGGATTTACAGAGAGTGAAAGTGAAATAGAATGAGAAAACTGAGATTGGCGAGGATTGAGGAAAGGACTAAAAAGAAAGAGGGTTCAAGAAGTCAGAAGATGGCGATTGGCACAGCATTTAAATCTTTTTTTTAAAAAAGATTGTAGTTATCGGGGAAGCAAGAAATCGGAAGGGAGATTCACAGGCGAGAAGTGCGAATTAAACAAGCTGTTGGAATAAAAATGGCGGTTGCATCCAGCTAATTTCTGCCGTAAAATAGTGAGAACTAGATGCCTGTCTAGTTGCATGCTTAAAATTTATGTAGTCATGGTACCAGGAAAAAAAAAAACTCATCAGAGCTGTAGGCATAAAAATATTTGTAGAAAAGACAGAGAGATGCCACGTCACGTCGGTGAGAAAGTGACTGCTGGAGATGACTGGTCAGGATAGATTGCATTACAGAGACTGCGTTAGATTTTGTCACGAATCTCGATATGTACAGTATTAATACTAAATATCCCTCTATAAAAGGCTTGAGAGCCACTCAAGGCAGAGTTAATTA